CGCAGTATTTATAATGTCAGGAACAGTCCATTATTATTATGGGTAAGTTCCCATAACAATCTTATGCCTCATCTAGAAAAGTATTCGATTTTTCAATCATTAAAGTCAGTATTTATTTTGAACCGTTTTACATCATGCAAGGCGATAATGCCGCTAAGATGCTAGAGGTTACTAAGAGTAATAGAATGAGACAACGTTAGTGATGAGAAATGGCAATATATGTGAAGAGTGAGAAAGAAAAACGATGGTGATTGATATTTCGTTGAAATATTTGAAGATGGTACGTGACAGACAACCGGAAATGACAGACGTAAGAATAAAGAAACTATCAGAATAGAACTTGCGTTTACATCTGGCGACTTGAAAAGTAAGAAGTCAAGACGTACTTGTCTATCTACGTCTAAATTCATCCGAAGTATCAAGGAGAGATGAACAGCTGCCATTAAAATGTTCATAGAAAATACAGAGGGAAGTCGAGATCACAGGTCAGCACTAATAATATTGAATGGAACAATTGTTTAGTATAGCGCTTCTTAAACAATGGGTCACGACTCGAAATGTTAGGGTCACGAAAATTAAATTCAAACACTTGAATTCGCTGAGGAATCAGGTGACACAAACTTGAAACTTGAACTTACAAAAAAAAAATCTTTGAATTCTAGATCAGGGCTAAAGCCGAATTTCCCACAATTCCTGAAAGCCGCTACATGTTCTTTAGTCATTTAAGTGCACATAACTATGTGGAACAACTTTTTCAGCTGCAACCCTTATTTTTTTCATTTTTTATTTTCTTAAGCATATCACTCCAAGCAAGGCGTGAGTGCCACTAGCACGCAAGGGATTACAGTGAGTAAGAACAAGATTAAAGAGAGGTGTTTGAGAAAAGATTAAAGAGAGGTGTTTGAGAAAAGGATAAAGAGAAGGACGGGAAGCAGAATTAAGATATAAGAAGATGTCAACTGACATTACATTTGAATATTTGATGGTTATAGCTATCAGGAAAGTAACTAAGAGGAAGTGGGTTCCATTGGCGGGAAGTGCGAGAGAAGAAGTTGTTAGAGTAGAAGAGACGGTTACATTTAACCGTTTCGACAGGGAAATGGTGGGCCCGAGATGCCAACCTAGTAGCACGCTTAAATTCATGGAGATTGTGAACTAGTGAAAGTAGATCGTCGGATCATTTGCCATGACAATATTTGTAGAAAAGACAGAGGGAAGCCATAGTACGTCATATCAAATTAAGACCAAATAGCGTTCAACGCTGAAAAACAGATGTTTTATGTCCAGCAATGTCAAATATTACACCATGGTTTAATCTGTTATAAAGCAAAAAAAAATTCCTCACAATGGTTTTTACTTTGGTCCTTTTTTTTTTTTTGCTTTGCCTATTTTTTGTACTTGAAACAAATTCTAAAGCTATTTTTATTTAGACAAATAATATAACTACATTTTTTTTTATTATGTATATTCTATCTATCTATCTTAGTCTGATCATATCTATCTATTCATCTTAGTCTGTTCATATCTATCTATCTTAGTCTGTTCATATCTATCTATCTATCAATCTATCTTAGTCTGTTCATATCTATCTATCTTACCCTGTTCATATCTATCTATCTATCTATCTATATATATATATATATATATATATATATATATATATATATATATCTTAGTCTCTTCATATCTATCTATTCATCTTAGTCTGTTCATATCTATCTATCTTAGTCTGTTCATATCTATCTATCTATCAATCTATCTTAGTCTGTTCATATCTATCTATCTTACTCTGTTCATATCTATCTATCTATCTATCTATCTATCTATCTATCTATCCCCTTGTACAAATTAATTGAAACAAAACGTATAATTCCGTTATTACTTACATTTTTTTTTTCGTATTTTTACAATGAAACATGGCCCAGTGCACATGATAGTACTTCGTATGTCCGCTTTTATTTTTGAGAAGCTCTTTGATGAGATCTGGCATGGAATCCACTAATTTGTAGCAGTCCTCATAGATTTGTGGATCACGCTATCACACGTCTACAATGGCCGTTATGAGCTTCTCTTTCGATCTCACTGTAAGGCTTGCCAGTGCGTTCTTGCGGCGTTACGATTTTCGGCAATGATAGAATGTTTTTAGTTTTCAAGGTATTGAATACAACCAGCTTGGTCGAATAAGAGTTCAACCGCCAATCTCTAATCATCACGAGTCTTAAAGGTTCTTGAATATTAAATTTGATCATTTCTCTTGCCCATTTGATCTAAATTAAAACACTTATCGATAAAGTTGACATACACCTTTGTGCAAATTAATTAAAACAAAACAAATAATTCCGTTATTATTTACTTTTTTCGTATATTCCCAATAAAACATGACCCAGTGCACATGTTAGTAGTTTGCATGTCCATTCCACAAAATCGTTCCTTGCAAATTGACCAGATTCTTGATTGGATTAAAATCAGGAGCGTTCCCAGGCCAGTCTATAGTACTTTGATTTGCTGACTGGTAAGGCTTGCCACTGCGTTCGTGCAGCGTTATAATTTTCGTATCCTTCCTTGGAGTAACGTCCATCGCAGATAATGGCCGTAGGACAACTAATCGGCAGTCGAGACAATAGTGTCTAGCTAAAAATGATGAAAATCGTGATGAAAATCTGATGCAATCACAGACGACGCAATGTTTTTCAAGGGTAAACAAATGTCATCACACATAGATTCATACTACTGCACACTACTGCAAATGACCTAATCTGAGGAAAAACAGAAATCGATTACACCATGTCACTCCATTGGTTCTAAAAGTGACGGTATGGCGAAAGAATGTAAACTAAAGCAGTTGTTTCAATTAATTTGCACAAGGGTGTATGTATTTAGTTCTATGTTTTATTTCATATTCAATACCTGGGGTCGCGAAACATTTCGTGATGAAAAATAGGGTCACGAATGAAAAAAGTTAAAGAATCGCTGGTCTAGAATGATACACTGAACCAACTTTCCTAGCAATGGATTCAATATAATAATTCCACGTCATGTCGCTCTTCTGGATGTTACCATCAGCCAGAAGTCTCTTATGTCCTGGGTATGACGATAAACTAATTCAGGCAGCAAGGAGAGATTGGAGGTTTTGAGGAGAGTGGAACGACCTTTTAATTGCTGCTTTTCGCAGTTCCACTCTGACCCAGGGTGGTAGCACCTGTTAGGGTCCCACTAATGGGCAAATATTCAACCCCCTCCAAACAAAAATGAACGGTATATTTTTATAATAAAACGACTAGCAACATGCCTTTATAGCAAAATGATAATCAATGCAACACTAAAAATATAAAAATGATTTTTTTATAATGAAATTGCCAATACATTTTATGATATTTTAAGATATTTTCTGTTTATACATTAGTTTTATAGATATATAGCTTAACGTGCTCTGTAGTTAAATTTTTATAGCACATCAGGCTATATGATGGTCCCCGTAGGATACAGGTTCGATTCCTGTCGGAGGACACTTATTTTCTCTGAAAATTTCTCGGGCATTCAGGCCAGTAAATGCGTTAATACTGTTTATTATAAACATAGCAACTACTTAAATATTTGTATCTATAAAAAGAACGTATAAACATAAAACAATGTCTTAAAATAATTGTCGGACTTTGTTCATTTCATAATGCGTGACGTCATTTGTTTACATTTGGATACGCATCGAGCAGATATGAATGAATGAGAGAAAATCATGGAGAATTGTGTTTAAAAACAGTAAAATCGAGCTTGCTGACCGAAGTCTCCTCTGTGGCCCAATCGGTTAAGGCACGTCAGGCTATATGACGGTACTGTATAGGATACAGGTTCGATTCCTGTCAGAGGACGCATGTTTTCTATAAAAATTTCTCGGGCATTCAGGCCGGTAGATGTTGTTAATACTGTTTATTATAAACAGAGCATTTACTTAAATATTTTTATCTATAAAAAGAAAGTATAAATATAAAATATGTCTTAAAATAATTGTCGAACTTTGTCCATTTCGTAGTATTTAATGAAATACCAATTATATATCTAAAGACATACGTTTACGCTGAAAGTATAAAATTATGTACAAAATATTTAAATTTCGGCATTAAATGACCCAGAGAGGTGTTGCTATGCCGCTAAATAAAATCAACCAACTAATTATGAACCGTACCGTAAGAATGCATTACTACACGCACATTCAAGCTTACAGCATCTGGTATTCCGGAGCAGTCACTTATCTAGGTACTGACCAGGCTTGTCGTTGCTTAACTTCGGTAAACGTACGGGAACCGTTTTATTTTATTTTATTAGGCCGTCATATAATACCGACCGTATATCCAAAATTGCTTGCAGCACCTGATATTTCGAAGCAGCCACCTCTCTTGGTACCGACCAAACTCGATATTGCTTAACTATACGGGAACTGGTGTTTCCACGTGGTATGGCCCTAAACTGTTTAGACCACACGCAAATCCAAGCTTACCCAGTGGTCACCCATGTAGGTACTGACCAGGCTCGACTTTGTTTAAACATACGAGAAATGGGGTTTTAAACGTGTTATGGTCATAAACATTTTAGACCACACGCATTTCTAAGCTTACAGCACCTGGTATTCCCAAGTTCTCACCCATTTAGGTAATGACCAGGCTCGACGTTGCTTAACCGTACAAGAACTGGCGTTTTAACGTGGTATGGTCATAAACATTTTAGACCACACGCACTTCTAAGACTACAGCAACTGGTATTCCCAAGTGCTCACCCATCTAGGTACTGACCAGTCTCAGCGTTGCTTAACCGTACAGGAATTGGCGTTTTAACGTGTTATGACCATAAGCCTTTTACACCACACGCATTTTAAGCTTACAACACCTGGTATTCCCAAGTGCTCACGCATCAAGGTAGTGACCACGCACGACGTTGCTTAACCGTACAGGAACTGACGTTTTAAAGAGTTATGGCCATAAACCCTTTAGACCATACCTACTTCTAAGCTTACAGCACCTGGTATTCCCAAGTGCTGACCTATCTTGGTACTGACCAGTCTAGACGTTGCTTAACCGGTGATCGTACGGGAATCGATGTTTGAACGTGGTATGGTCGTAATCCAGGTGTTATATGCGTGAAAGAAGGAGAAATCACCCCAAAAGGGTTGCTTTCTTTTCCACTTGTTGAAGGTCGTAAATGATTTCTCGTAAAAGATGGTTTCTTACCTATCAGTGTTCGTTCGTCTTTTTTTCTTTTTTTTCGATAGATTAGTTAGAAAAGCCGACACCCCAACAACACTAACTCAAATTAAAAATAAAATAAATAAGATGTATCAATAAAACATGTAAGTGCTTGATTTCCCTATGGTAAGCAGTTTGTGTCCGCCCAGACATTTTATCTACAAATCACTTTGAGGTGAAGTTGACAATTGCTTTTCTAATGTGAAACACGAAAAAAAAAAATTTAAAAAAATGGATGTGTCTGTGGAAAGCATGAATAATATTATAAAGAAACGTAGATTCTGTCTTCCTATCTACGTTTCAGAATTCCAAAAGAAATTAAAGTATAAAGAGAATTAGTTCTTTTCTTGGAGAACACGTAAAGCGACTCGCGTATTGTTGCCTGATAAGTTCGGAACTTGTGTCAAGGGATTTGCGTAATGAAAACTTAGTTGTTTTCATTCGCTTACAGTTCAGCTCAAGAATTAAGAGATATGCAAAGAATATTCATAAACTGACAACATATATACTGAACAATTGGTAAACTTAATCTACACATTGCAACACAAAAAATACATGCAACAATTACACAAGTCATCGGCATTTGTCGATTAGCTCGTCTTTTTAAATTCCCGTAGTAGATGTACGAGGCGCAGTGGAGTTAATACACAGCAGCTCGGATTGAGAAATCGGAGAGTCGAGTTCAAATTCCAGTCGGATCTATTACATTCATTTACGTGGATTCATACCTTGGGAAAATGCTCATCTTCTCCCAGGTTTGGATAAATAGCAGGACAGACTTTGTTCTATAACATTGGAGTTGAAAGAAGAAGTCTTAATTCACAATCGACCTAGAGAAGGTTGGGCTTTGTCAGGATATCTTGCCTAAGAAATACCTGTCCACTTCCTAAAGGCATACGACATATTTTGATCACACGAGTCATAAATGTCTTATATTGTCCTAAAAGACAAAACTGACTTTCAGGTTTAAACATTGAAAACCGTGTTGGTGGCATGGTGGATAACGGCTCGGACTGAGGAATCGGAGAGTCGAGATCGAATTCCACTCGGATCTATTACATTCACTTACGTGGATTCCTACCTTGGGAAAATGCTCATCTTCTCCTCCCATGTTTGGATAAATAGCTGGACAGACTTTGTTCTATAACATTGGAGTTGAAAGAAGAAGTCTTAATTCACAACTGACCTAGTGAAGGATGGGCTTTGTCAGGATATCTTGCCTAAGAAATATCTGTCCACTTCCTAAAGGCATACAGCATATATTGGTCCCACGACTCATAAATGTTCTATATTGCAGCTAAAAAAGAATTAGGAACAGAAACAGGAGCGGGAAGTAAAAAGAGTAATCAGGAGGACAGTAGATAGCCATTGACATTGCATTTAAAATTTTGAAGATTAAAGTTCACTGGAAAGCATGAAACCAGAAGGGAGTTCCACAAGCGAGAAGTGCTAGAAAAAAATCTGTTAGAATAGGATTTACGGTTACATTTAGCCTACTTCAACAATAAATTGATGAGACTTGAACGCCAGCCTCGTACTGAGCTTAAATTCAAACTCTGGCCACTATAGCGAATATCTCATCCAGACAATTAACCATTTAAGTCTTTATAGAAAAGGCACAAGGTTTCAACCTTACGGCAGTGGGAAAGAGACTAATGTGGAAACCATAGATCAGGACCTATAATATTGCTGATTTTTTTCTTTGGATTTTACAAAGAATCTTTATATATATAGCAAAAGCACCAAACCATATGTGACAGCATTATTCAATGCCTGGGCGAATAAAATTGTATATATGTAAAATCCACCCAACTGTTGAAATTTATTTCTTTTGAAAGTTTTGAAGTCAATTTTTTGTGCAAGTTCTCAGCCTCAACCTCGTCCATAACAAATCAGCAATATTATTAGTCCTGACCTGGTATCTCGGCTCCAGTCAATTTCCCATTGAGTCAAATTCTAGTTATTTTATATTTCTGAGGTAAATACTTAAACTAAAACTATATCGTACACTGTTGCTGTCTGTTGCTGTTCCTTACTGGCTTGTCTGGTCTAAATGTTTTAACATAATCTTCAAAATGTTCACGAACCATTTTTTTTTTATTTTTTATTTTTTTTTTTTATTGTCGGTGGGAACGTGACTCATTGGTTGAAAAGTGTTAAATATATATATATTTTTTTAGGGATTAATTTATTAACCGGAAGAATGTGCGTATCCTTCAACACAAAAACCATTTCTGTCGTTTGACGATTGGTTGTCTTCCGGCTTAACTCCACAAGCGTTCCACAAGCGAGAAAAGAAACTGTTAGCATAGAACTTACGGTTTCATCGAGCCAACTCCACTGTAAATTGGTGAGACCTTCGCGCCAGTCTAGTACTGCGCTTAAATTCATAAAGTCTAGGTACCATAGTGTAGAAATCATTACTATGAAAGAATTTATAGAAAAGGCAAAGGGAGGCAACTTTACGGCGGTAGGAAAATGACTGAAGCCGAGACGCCAGATCAGGACCAATAATATTGCTGAGTCTTCTTTGGATTTTATCAAGGTGCTCTAGGTAAACAGCAGGAGTACCGGGCCATATGTAGCATTATTATTATTATTATTATTATTATTATTATTATTATTTCCGTTGATTTATGTACGTTGTGTACTTATTTCTGTCTGGGTCCCAGCCAGAGACCTATGGTAAAAAATAGCATCATTACATTTTCCACGTGACCTTTTACTAAAAAATTAAAATTAAAAATAGGACAAGCTAAGATTACACACATTTTAAATTGATAAAATGCTTCTTAATGTGTGAGCTGTAGTTGTGACAACATTTTTTTTATTATTATTATTTAAGGTCTGAGCTGTCAGGGATCTATTTAGTGTGTCTATCAGAATAACATCATTATTTACATTATTCGGACTATTGTCCTCATCTTTGTCGCCATATTTATTACAAGGTTTCGGCCGTTGTACGTTCCGGCCTTCTTCAAGTGGTTGAAATATCGAACTTAACCCTTTATTTCGCTCACTGGGGTAAACTGTTCTAGTTCCACGTGCCATGTTTAATGGATCTCAGTTATCAGTTATCTCCTTAATTTCCCTCTGAAAGGTCTCCACTGCCTTAACCGGGTATTGAACTCATACTCTTTTGGTCCTGTCACTGGATCTAACGAACGCCTTTATCCACTGTGCCATATGTCCTCAAGGCCTTGTCTTCTTCACTTAGAATTGACATTTGACATCGTTGTTTATTTCGGTTTCTTTTTTTTTTCTTTCCAGACTGACTTTTTTCTATTTCGATTTCGTTGGTTTTATATTTTTTTAATATTGTTTCTGCGATCGTTGCTGAGGCTGCGTATATAAGACGTTTATTTCCTGTCAGGTTTTTCCAATTCGTCCCTTATTTTTTCTAATTGCTTGGTAAGCAAGGTTTATAGTTTCTTTCACTTGACGTTTCTTTATTCTTTTGGAATCGTCGGCCTTTCCTCGAAATTCATTTTCTCCCATTTATATCAGATGTTTTGACATCTCTATTTCTCTCATTATCTTCCTCTATCTACTTGTGTACCTCAGAGGGATTATTACAACTGGTTTCTATTTGTTCCTTTGAGTGTGTCCCCTCTGGGTTGTTGGCATTTAACCCCTCGATGTTAACGTTTAATCTGTTTATGATGTTTTCTCGGATGATTCAAGCTCTATGTCAGATATTCGTTTTTTTTTCCTGATGATGTCACGCCTGACATTGGCTAGTACATTGGCATTGATGTTTACTCTGTTTGATGGATGATTTTTTCTCGCTAGATATTATAGGCAGCTTTGGTCGTTGTTGTCGGTGTCTGATTTATCTTAGCGGTGTATATTGAAATAATGATAGCATTTCTATTATTACTTCAATATACTCTTCCCTAGACCATTTATTCATTGTTCTTTTTGTGGGATTTTATTTTAATGAATATAGAAAGTCTCTGGGGAGGAATGTCCTCGGCATAACATTCCTTAGTTCTCGTCAGGTAATGTTTGTTCCAGTTGCAGACATGTGTTCATTGTTGACCTGCGTGACCACCGATGCGGTTTATCAATATTTTTCGCTGTGTCAACATTATAGTTAGTTCGTTTTTATCCATACGTGGGGGGCTGTTTTTTGGGTGCCAAAGTATATCCATACCATGATGGGACATCATCTTCAGGGAGCCAGAACTCCTTCGGCAATTTTTGTTTATTTATTTTTTAATTTTTTTTGATTTTTTTTTTTTACTGTTGCTATTATGTAAAACCTTCGTTTATAAGCGTTTAGATCCCCAGGAGACACGACGTGCTTCACCGGATTTGGATATAACTTCAATTTTCAACGGAATTTTCTTTGTTGTTGTTTTTTTTCTCTTATATCCAGTAATATGAAACTATATTCAGATCTCCTTAATTATTTAATTACATGAATATATTTTATCTATTATACAATTAGTATATAGTTACTAATAATATTTAAATAAATTTTATTATCAGTGTAATATTATTATTATTATTATTATTATCATCATCATTCGATTTCTGCTATGGACACACTACCTACCAAGTCTGCGGAAAGACCTAAGGCAGGTCGTGGTGTGTTGTTATGGCCACATTTCAGGTTAATTTTTTTTTTTTTTTTTTTTTTATCTCCGATGAAGTTGCTAGCGTTACATAGACAAAGTTCTCCTTAGTGTGTGTGCTGTACTTAATAAGACAATTTTCTGTATGTCTCTTAAGCTGGGGTTTCCAGGGATTCTTTCAATGTGTTGTTTTGTTCCATTTTTTATAATTCCAAGTGCACCTATTACCACTGGTATTATTCTTGTTTTCAATTTCCACATTTTTTCTATTTCAATTTCCAGGTCTTTGTATTTTGAT